TCATCCTGGTTAGGGGATTAGTGAGTAACAATTTTATGGAAGCTGTTCCAAAAACTACAGTAAAATGTAATTAAAATAAAAACGTTTTATAAAACAACAAATCAAGGTGCCGTGTAAAACAAGGTGAAATCCTAAAAACAAGAACGTATTTGATGTTTCCATTGACCTCATCAAATTCAAGACGTGAAGCACTGGTTTAAGGAGAACCAGTCCTGGTCCAGTCAAAGCCCAAAGCCCTGGAGCTCCTGAGGAGATCGTCACTTTGATCATTTGCTCGTGTGAAACTAACGCGTCTGCTTCCATAAGAAAAGGTGACAAAAGTTTTGAAACTCATTAAAATGTAAATTTGTGCAGCAGGACAAAACTTAACGAGATGATGTGTTGAACCACCTGCAGTGGAGGAGGCTCTGCTGCTTCCTCAACTTGAGTCGGCAGGAAAAGGAAAAAAACGGTTTACTCTTAATCAAGTTAATTACGAGTTAATTAGTCGGGGCTTTTACTCCAACATGTTTGTGTTGGCAGGCGACGCTCTTCACCTCCAGCTCGTTGTTGCAAAGTGTCGGTTTCAGTGATCGCTCATCAGCTCTTCTCTGCGAGGAGCTTCAAACGCTAATCAGATCATCGGCCTCGTACGGAGAACGAGCGGTCAGAGGACCGAGCTGCTGCTGGGAACCGCTCCCGAGGTGAAAACCACCAAACGGTGCGAGCGAGTCCTCCGTCAATCCAGAACCGTTGGAGGTCTTGTGGTGACCAACTTGTGACGGACCTTTACGTGGTCCTTCTTGAACAGGAGGAGCTTACTGCCGGAGGTCAGTCCGTTCCAGCGTACCAACCGTGGCTCCAGGTGGTCTCAACCTCACCATCGTCCTCCCCCATGAGACAAGATGGAACTAGACCAAGGATGATGTCATTTATGTTTCTTCTTCTGTGGTTGAGTCAGAGTCAACAGATCCAGGACAGATACCCAGACCTCCCTCCCCAGCCCCTCCTGGTGGGACCCCAAGGGCTTTTCCCAGTGGGACATGCCCAGAAAACCTCCAGATGGAGACATCTAGGAGGCAATGCCTGAACCACTAGACCTCTAAGACTTAAACGGCCCCCCACCCTACGGCTGCTTGTATCCAGGATCTCGTTCCTTCAGTCCTGATCCAGACCTCAGGACCACAGGTGAGGGTTTGAACATAGACCAGTAAATCCAGAGCTTTGCCTTTGGACTCAACTTTCTTCACTATGGCCGACCGAAGCAACGCCCTCATTACTGAGGACCAGGCCCTCGATCCATCTCCTGCTCCATCCTACCACCCAGATACTTGACCTCCTCCACCTGAAGCTCCTTGGTTTCTTACATTCCTGATTAATGGCACCAGCAGCACTGCTAATCGTAACCTACGGCCTCGACACAATTTAAAATACAAAAACGGGTAAAAACCAAACAGCCCGTCTAAATAAAGGTTGAACGAATGAAACTTGTCCTTTAAAACAGTGGTTCCCAACTCAGGTCCTTGGGGAACACCATCCTGCATGTTTTACTCGTTTCCTGCTTTGACGCACCTGATTTGAACGAGTGAGTGATTAACAGGCTTCTGCACAACTCGACGTAATTCAATCTCTGAATCAGGCGAGTTGGAGCAGGAAACAACTGAAACGTGCAGGATGGCGTTCCACAAGGACCAGGGTTGGGAACCGCAGCTTTATAGGTCCAACGAGTTGCATGTGGTGACATCTAGTGGCTGAAATTGGAACTTGCTAAATGCCCCCACCTATAAAACTGAAAAGGTCCACTTCAGTGGCAGAATGTCCCGTTTCATCCACATTTACAAGCTGGTTGTTTTATCGTAATAAATAGTGATAGAAAACACACAGATAAATAAAAACTTGTTTTTTTGTGTGTAGATCAGCCTGAATGATGCTCACTGGAGTTACAAAACATACAGCAGGTGATAAATATTTGTGCTTCTCATAAAACGTGTTAAATGTCCGTGCTGGTCGGAACGTTTCCTGTTCTTCTTGCACCGTTCGGGTGGAGAAGCTGCAGGTTTCTGCACTGAACCTGGACCAGCTTCAGCTCGTGTGGTTGTGCCCGAGCTGACGCAATCATCCGAAGCTGCAGATTTATTCATACTCTAGTAAACAGCTGGAAGTTTATTTTCTCGGAATCACAGAATTAGAGGCTGAGCATCAGATAATTACCTTCTCCAGTCGCCGAGTGATCCGACGCTGCGAGGAAACACTAAAAATAAAAAAATATCTGGAGCATCGGAGAACATTTTCTTGCTATTGTCCTGGAACAAAAGGAGAAAGGATGGGCTCAGTTCACAGAAAAACAGTTTAATTTTTTTTATAATTACACATATTTACAACAAAGGAAGCAAAGTTTAGCAGATCTGAGCAGTTGAAAACAAACTTCATGGTTTTATTTAATTTAAATTCCTCCAAACGTTTGAACAGCCTTCCACTCCGCAGTTTGGATTCAAGGACTTTCAGTTCATTCATTCGTTCGTTCGTTCGTTGGTCCCTTCAGGAAAAATAAAAAACACGCCACTAATGTTTCTTTTAATCGGAGAAAAGGTCAAATAAAATTAGACGCAGCAGCAGAAAAGACGAAGTCTTAAACCGAATCCTTTCGATTCTTCGCCGGTTCTCGTCTCCACCTGGTCCTACGCTGCAGATCATCGAGATCTTTTAACTCTGGACCAACTAGTTAAGAATATTAGTATAAAATTAGAACGGCTGGGTTTTATTTACTATTTCTGAGTCTGGGATCAGCCACGATGTCTCCAAACTAACCGGCTCGCGCTGAAGGCGTCAAAAACCTCAATCTGAGATTGTAGAAATGTTCACAGTGGATTGTTTTATTCTGTTATTCATCTGAAGTTTGTCCTGATAAAATTTTCTAAAAATACAACAAAAAAAAAAAGCCTATTTGGTTAAAAAACAAAAATCTGTTGCAATTTGAAGATTAAATAGAGATTGTTTTATAAAAAGGAGCCAACCCAGAGTGGATCTCAGCTACAGGTGATCTCACAGGTGAGGGTAACGTTGCTGTGACTCCCGTTCTGCGTTTTCGCTTCAAACGAGACAAAAGACCGGAACGTGGGAGTTGAAGCCACTGCAGAGGAGCACTCTATGCCCCGCCCCTTTTAGGTAAACCAGTGAAACGTTTTTCTTAAAATGCAACAACGCACTTTAGAGCTTTGTTTCACCTTCTGCTTCGTGCAGTTTTAGTGCCTCTCTGCTGTTCATGAGTTTTAAAAGTGCGTTCGGTGCTAATAAATGTTTTGAGGCTAGAATTAAAGCGTCGTGTTACACTGTGATTGACAGTCGAGTAGGCGGGACTTCTGCATCGAGGGTCAGCCCCACGTCCCCAGCGCACAGACTCTGGTTCCAAAAACGCAAGATGGTGGAACCCACAAAAACAGACATTGGGGCTTCATGTTTTGTCGGCGGTGGTGTCTCACTGCGCTGCGACTGTTGGAAACACCAAGTTTCACCTGGAATCATCAAACGACCGGTTTCACCAAGATCTTCTGGTGGGAACGGTACTCACTTTCTTGTAACTTTAATAAAAATCGCAGCAGACTAGCCTCGATCGGTTTCTCACAGATTCTTTTCCACGGTACACATCTAAAGAACATCACTTGGTATTCCTGTCCGGGACAAATTCTAATTTTCAAGTGTCGGCCATCTTGGTTTTAAAGTAAAACTGTGAAGTTGAATTTACTGAAGAGAACCGACAAATTAAAACGTGATCTTTTTCTGCTGCTGCTCAGGTGAGTTTGTGGACAATCGTCAATGGTCTGAAAACAAAAGGGCTCGTGATTGGAGACTGATGAAGGATACTTCTGATTCTTCCAGAACCTGGTTTTTCATCCCGTCTGGACCTTGGTTTGACCAGTTTAACCTTCTGACGGGTGGAGAATGTCCAATCAGTGCAATCAGACATAATTAATTTGATCTGTGAGGCACTTCTTAAATTAAATCCATCCCTCGGTTTAGTTGGAGAAAGTCCTACAAGACAATAAAAAGAAAAGTTTACCAATGAAAATGTGCCACTTGCATCAATAGAAAGGCATCGTTGATTTTAGATCCACTACCTACATTATATTACACAATAACTTAATTTCGTTTGTACATTCTTGTTTCGTTCAACTCCTCTACAAGATACAAAAGAAAAAGTGCAGATTCAAATTGTTTTCAGTTCTTCGGCAGAACTCGTCGGGAGACGTGAGACGGGTTGAAACGGTTTCTTTATGACGGCAGGCACAGAATGAGACGTGAAGGTGGACGCTCCGCGGGGAAACGGGAAATAATCCGAAGGAGAAAAACCAAAGAAACGATAAAAGCAGGGAATGTTCTCGCAGTCCAGAGTTTCTGTTTCGCTCCTTCAGGAGAGTCTGGTGATCAACGGTCCAAGAGTTCAGGAAGGAAAAGCTTCGTCTTCGTTCCTTCACGACCGGTGCAGCTCGTCCTCCTCGTCTTCTCTTTATTCACGTTTACATTTTTTGGCTAAAACGGCAGCTTGGACGGACAGAAGGTGAGAGAGGACGCTGGTGTCTCGTTCATACGGACTCCTCTGTGGACAGCAGCAGAGGGTTGATGTATTCAAACCCCTCGAACTCTGACTGGTCTATTCTCTTGATGACGTCCCTGAGGAGGAGAAGACAGAAACATCAGAGGAGTTGCTCCATCACCTCAACGATCTTTGTCCTAAAAATTAAACGTCCACATTGACGGACACTTTGACTCAAAACATACAAACAGATGAAGACAAAGTCCAACCAACATGTTGGTCACAGGACTGGTTTTAGAACGTAAATGTGTTTTAATTTGACAATAAATCACGTTTCAGTTCCTCACGTTGTTCCTGGAATTCAATTTATATTAAATTATCTAATTAACACCAGTTTGTAAACAAGAGTCACTTCAGAATACCAGTTAGTAAAACAGAAAACCAGATAGACACAGAAGGGCTGGTCCAGGTGTAGTTCCTATGGTTCAGGTATAGCTTCAATGGTTCAGGCGTAGTTCCTATAGTCCAAGTGTAGTTTCTATGGTTCAGGTGTAGTTCCTATAGTCTAAGTGTAGTTTCTATAGTCCAAGTGTAGTTTCTATGGTTCAGGTGTAGCTTGTATGGTTCAGGTGTAATTCTTATGGTTCAGGTGTAGCTTCTATGGTTCAGGTGTAGTTCCTATAGTCTAAGTGTAGTTTCTATAGTCCAGGTGTATTTTCTATAGTCCAGTTGTAGTTTTAATGATTCAGGTGTAGTTTTTATAGTCCAACTGTAGTTCCTATGGTTCAGGTGTAGTTTATATAGCCCATGTGTAGTTTCTATAGTCCAGGTATAGTTTCTATGGTTCCGGTGTAGTTTCTATAGTTCAGGTGTAGTTCTTTATAGTCCAACTGTAGTTTCTATAGTTCAGGTGTAGTTTTTATAGTCCAAATGTACTTTCTATGGTTCAGGTGTAGTTGCTATAGTCCAGTTGTAGTTTTTTTTATGGTTCAGGTGTAGTTTATATAGTCCAGGTGTCGTTTTTAT